AATAAGAATTTCTGGAGCCAAGATCCACCAGGGGGCACCTGGGTGGGCACAACCCACCAGGGAGCCCCCCTCCTAGCGCGCCCAGGTGGGTTGTCCCCACCTGATAGCCTCGCAGACCCTGAAACCGACGATATAAAATCCTAATTTTCCAGAAAAAAATCAAGGAGAAAGAAATATCGCGATCCACGAGATGGAGCCGCCGTCACCTCCTGTTCTTCATCGAGAGGCCTGATCTGGAGTCCGTTTGGGGCTCCGGAGAGGGGGGGTCTTCGTTCTTTGTCGTCACCAAGCCTTCTCCATCGCCAATTCCATGATGCTCCCACCAGGAGTGAGTAATTCCTTCGTAGGCTCGCTGGTCGGTGAGGAGTTGGATGAGATTCATCATGTAATCGAGTTAGTTTTTTAGGGCCTGATCCCTAGTATCCACTATGTTCTAAGATTGATGTTGTTATGACTTTGCCATGCTTAATGCTTGTCACTTTGGGCCCGGGTGCATGCCATGATTTCAGATGTGAACCGTTTATGTTATCACCATTATATCTATGTTCTAGATCCCATCTTGCAAGTTATAGTCACATACTACGTGTTGTGATCCGGCAACCCCGTAGTGACAATAGTCGGGACCACTCCCGGTGATGACCGTAGTTTGAGGAGTTCATGTATTTACCGTGTGTTATTGCTTTGTTCCGGTTCTCTGTTAAAAGGAGGCCTTAATATCCCTTAGTTTCCAATAGGACCCCGCTGCCACGGGAAGGTAGGACAAAAGATGTCACGGAAATTCTTTCCATAAGCACGTATGACTATTTACGGAATACATGCTTACATTATATTGATGAACTGGAGCTAGTGCCATATCGCCCTAGGTTATAACTGTCTCATGATGAATATCATCCAACAAGTCACTGATCCAAAGCCTACGAATTTATCTTATATTGTTCTTGCTAAGTTACTACTGCTATCGTTACTGTTGCACTTGTTACAAAACTACTGTTATCACTGTTACCATTACCATTGCTGCTACTACTATTATCAAAACTATCATATTACTTTGCTACTGATCACGTTGATGCAGATAATTAATCTCCAGGTGTGGTTGAATTGACAACTCAGCTGCTAATACCTTCAAATATTCTTTGGCTCCCCCTGTGTCGAATCTATAAATTTGGGTTGAATACTTTATCCTCAAAAACTGTTGTGATCCCCTATACTTGTGGGTTATCAATGTGACAGACCCGTTGACTAAACCTCTCTCACAAGCAAACATGATCACACCTTAGTACTCTTTGGGTGGTAATCACATGGCGATGTGAACTAGATTATTGACTCTAGTAAACTCTTTGGGTGTTGGTCACATGGCGGTGTGAACTATGGGTGTTAAATCATATGGTGATGTGAACTAGATTATTGACTCTAGTGCAAGTGGGAGACTGAAGGAAATATGCCCTAAGGCAATAATAAAGTTGTTATTTTATATTTCCTTATTCATGATAAAGGTTTATTACTCATGCTAGAATTGTATTGATCGGAAAGCTAAATACATGTGTGGATACATAAACAAATACCGTGTCCCTAGTAAGCCTCTACTAGACTAGCTCGTTGATCAAAGATGGTTAAGGTTTCCTAACCATAGACATGTGTTGTCATTTGATAATGGGATCACATCATTAGGAGAATGATGTGCTGGACAAGACCCATTCGTTAGCTTAGCATATTGATCGTCCAGTTTACTGCTATTGCTTTCTTCATGTCAAATACATATTCCATTGACTATGAGATTATGCAACTTTCGGATACCATAGGAATACCTTGTGTGCTATCAAACACACAACATAACTGGGAGATCATAAAGATGCTCTACAGGTATCTTTGAAGGTGTTTGTTGAGTTGGCATAGATCAAGATTATGATTTGTCACTCCGAGTATCAGAGAGGTATCTCTGGGCCTTCTCGGTAATACACATCATAAGCTTTACAAGCAAACGACAAAGGAGTTAGTCATGAGGTTATGTATTACGGAACGAGTAAAGAGACTTGCCAGTAACGAGATTGAACTAGGTATGAAGATACCAACTATCGAATCTCGGGCAAGTAACATACCGATGGATAAAGGGAATTACGTATGTTGTCATAACAGTTCGACCGATAAAGATCTTTGTAGAATATGTAGGAGTCAATATGGGCATCCAGGTTCCGATGTTGGTTATTGACTGGAGAGGTGTCCCGGTCATGTCTACATAGTTCTCGAACCCGTATGTTTTGGTGACCGAATGTTGTTCAGAGTCCCGAATGAGATCACGGACATGACGAGGAGTCTCGAAATGGTCGAGAGGTAATGATTGATATATAGAACGATGGTATTTGGACACAGAAGTGTTTTGGGACTTACCAGGGAGGAATCGGTTCACCTGAAGGGGTTCTGGGCACCCCCCGGCAAGATATGGGCCTTATGGGCCAAAAGAGGGGACAGACCAGCCCACAAGGGGGCTGGTGCACCCCCTCCCTTGTTTGGCCAGCCCTAGGGAAGGAAAAGGGGGAGGGCTAGCCCCTCCCGCCTTTCCCTCTCATGGGAGAAAGGAAAGGGGGGCGCCACCCTCCCCTGCCTTTCCCCGCACTCCAAATAAGGAAAGGGGTGTGGCTTGGGAAGGACCCCAAGTAGGATTCCTCCTATTTGGGTGCCTCCTTTGGCTACTCCTTCCTCCCTTGCACCTATATATATGTGGGAGGGGGCGCCTAGCAAACACCAGATCAATTGTTAGCCGTGTGCGGCGCCCACTCCACCGTTTACACCCGCACTCATATTTTCGTAGTGCTTAGGCGAAGTCCTGCGGAGATCACTTCACCATCACCGTCACCACGCCGTCGTGCTGACGAAACTCATCTACTGCCTCCACGTATTGCTGGATCAAGAAGGCGAGGAACGTCACCGAGCTGAATGTGTGCAGAATGCGGAGGTGTCGTGCGTTCGATACTTGATCGGTTGGAGCGCGAAGAAGTTCGACTACATCAACCGCATTGTTTAACGCTTCCGCTTACAGTCTACGAGGGTACGTAGACACACTCTCCCGCTCTCATTGCTATGCGTCTCCTTGATAGATCTTGCGTGTCCGTAGATTTTTTTTTTCCATGCAACGATTCCCAACACTCTTGCCGGTGTTGGTGGTCTCTTTTCACCACCGTTGTAGCACCTCCACGACCATGCCACCACATTGACTCTACCATCCTCTGCCTAGCGCCAAGCACGTCGGCCACGCACCACGACAACCTCCACTTTGACAGATTATGCGGGGGAGAGGCGTACGACTCTTCACCGTCCGGCTTCTCAACCACTATTTCGGGGGTCAGAGTAATGACACCAAAGTTCAAGTGCACCATGCCGAGAGTCCCAATATAAAATTCATGGAACATCGACATGATCATAGGCTGCAATTGCAGCCAAGACTTCTGGAAGAAGGCCACCGGCAGGCCGCTTGGGCCAGGTGCCTAGCTAGCCTTCATGTCGGCAATCCCCTACCCACCTCCTCCAACGAGAAAGGCAGGGATAGTTCCACATTCTCAGTGGCATAAACTTTGGCTACTACTGGCCAATAATCATCTGCCAGAGAAACCCTATAGCAGGCTTCTGCCGTGAAGAGCTCCTTATGGAAGGAGTAAATGTGCGTCATGATATCTCTCGACTGCTCAAGGTGGCCATCTCCCTCCCACAAACAAGGGATGGAGCATTTGTGATGCCACCCATTAACAATAGCCTAAAAATAGGCTGCATTAGCGTCCCTGTTCTAAGAGCCAATTCTGACACCTCCACCCCCACCCCCACTGCCCGACGCTGCCAGAAAAGCTCTTCACCCTTGAAGATCTCCATATGAAAGGATTCGAGGGTGTGCCGCACGAACCACTCATCGGCACAGAGG